CCCCAAAACCCCAAAACCCCAAAACCCCATTTGTGTTTGAAATAATTGAATATTTTATTTTTAGAGATGAAGAAGAATTATAGCATCAAGCCAAATCATTTCAAACTTAGATCCCAATCCCAAGGGATGATTAGTAGTAAGAATAGGTCGATTGGGAGAAACCAGGATAGTAGAAGGATGCACGGAGAAATGGTTAATAGACTTTGTGAAACAAAACAGGCATCTAGACAGTTGTTCCAAGATATCATGAAAGATTATAATAAAACTAAGGGGTCCAAACTTGGCCAGTTTCTCCATCCCAATTGGACTCACAGAGACACTACTTCACATAAAGATCACATTCCTAGTATTCTTAACATGCCGAGTCTGAAAGCAATGAGCTCTGATTCAAACATTTCTACCAAAAATGGCCTCGTAAAACTCGAAATGAGAGCCTATTCAGACAGAGTCTCAGATCAACTTTGCTTGCTAAACTCAAAGCCTAAAATCCCTCATAATGAAAATGCAGATATTGACAGAGAGTTTAGAAAGATGAAGCAAAGAAAACTGGACTATCACATAAACCTAATTAATCTTGCTAGTAAAATTAAACAAGATGGCTTTGATTCTGAGAACAATTATGACTCCCCTAATCCAGAATAACATTTACAATTCTCTTGAAGTGCTCCAGTACATCATCGATAATGACGATGACATTAATATCAACTTTGCTAATACCACAGGGAGTAAAAACACAGATAAAGGCTCATTGAGAGACATAATGATGAGAGTCAAGAGAACTCTTGAGGTTGGCATTTTTGGATTCAAGCATAACCTCCCAAAGAATATACAGGAAAAGACTTTTGAAAGCAAACCAGCAAAGCTAGAGAACTATCTTGGAAAGAATACTTCTCTTGCTACTCATCCAGATGTAGTTCCTTATTATGAGGTTGTGGATAAGCTTTTGGCGAGTATTGCTCAGCTACAAGCGAATATAAAGAAAAGAGATGAGCAAGGAAAATTAGACACTAAGAATTTAAAGAGACAGATAAAATACAGGTATACTTCATAGGCGAGGCAAATAATTCCATATAACTATATGCTCAATAAAATACACTCCAGAGTTATATAGAGCATTTCTTTAATGATTCAAATTTTATTTTGAAATTAAAATCAATCAATTCCTTTCTTTAGAGACAAGAATATCGAAACTTTGGAAAATCAGCTTGTGCAATTACAAGAAAAAAGCACTCATCCGATCCAGGAAGAGTACAATAGGATCGTAAATGAAAATGAGAAGGTAATGATTCTTAAACCATGTCTAGCTCCTTAAAGAGAATACACAAAGCAAGTACGAAATTGATCAATTCAAGGAAGATTTCAAAGAACTCAATGATGAATACCATAAGGTCCTTCTCAAGCTCAACAACATGCAAGAAGACTTACAAAAGAAGGAAGATGAAGCTCAGATTCTCTCTAATCAGAAGGAAGATTTAGAAAAGAAAATTCATAAGCAGAACGATATTTTCACAGATAGTTTAAAAGACTATAATGACACTCTAATTCTACTTAAGAGATCACAAGAAAGTTATAAAAATCTTCTCAAACAGTATGAATCAATACAAGAAGAAAATAGAAAACTAGAAGTCCGAGCTGCCGCTGGTTTTGAGAGCCTTACTCCTCGATACAAGGACTTTAAGGGTGCATTTAAAAAGCTCCGGATTAAGAAGCCTGAGCTTAAGAAAGGCTATACCACAAGAACCAGCATCCAGTACATCGAAAGACTAATCTCTGCTTATTCTGAGCTGCAGGAGAATGCTTAATCACTCAACTCTAAACCTCCCTCTGGGGTTTTGGGGTTTTGGGGTTTTGGGGTTTTGGGG